GTCTTGTTAAAAAAGGAGCAAAGAAGAAAAAGAAGAAAAAAAAGACAAGAGACAAAAAAAAATTGGGGTATTTGTGCTAAACACATGTCACCAAACTGAGACTTAGTATCTAACCTAATTGCAATTTCAGCCTGTCCAAGAAATATAATCTTAACCAGTCAGTCTGAAATTACCTGGTCAGCACTAATGAGAATATCTGAGTAACAGGCATGTACTTCCTTCCAGCATTTCCCATCAACTATTCCATGAGAGAGAGATATTGAAAAAAATTTTTATAGTTATGTTATATGATGCTTATAGTTACTCTTAGAAAAGACAAGGTCACAAGAGTGGTAAAAATGGAGCCAAGAACCACGCTTTCCCTGGGAACTGAAAATATAAAGTTATATAATAATAAAATCATAAAACTTAGACCAGATAGAATCAAACTGCATGACTCTTGGCATCAAAGATGTAATCTGCTGTAACTGTCTTTGCAATTATCAAGCATTTTATTACTCAGACACAAATAAACATGTAAAATATAAAATTATGTTACAAAGAAACAAATTAATAGAAACATAACTCATAGCAATTGTATCAAACAAAATTCAAAAATAAAAAATTGATAAATCCTACCATAGGCGTTATTAATTTAATTAGTACTTTTGACCAAAGGTTGTCTCTCAGCGACACACTCATTAATCTTCCCTGTGTATCAAAGTTTTAACAAGTATTGGCAGAAACAGATTAATCCACTGCTTAATGTATTTTTAAATCATCATCCTTTTCCAAAGACATCTACTTACATTTCACATTTTCTTATAAGTGTTTTTTTTTCTTATTTTTAATGAATTATAACCTTCTGAATGTATATAAGGAAAGTATATTGAAGTTCTGGAAATCTATAAAATCCTTGAAAATTAAGTATCTTTGGTATCCAAAGAGTCATGGTTTTGCAGCTCTGACATAGTAATAAGACAGTAATTTTAACATAAGATGGGAATAGGCCCCACCCCTTAATAGGTGACTCCCAACACTAATATGAGCAGGTTTGAAGCTGCAAGATTAAAAGAAGCTTTCTCCACTCCAAGAGGGACATTAGGAGGATGCTGCTCAGAGGGGATGCAGACCCAGGCTATTGGAGTTCATTATTTTTATCTTATGTGAGTATGTCATTAAAAAATATTAGTTTTGTTTATGAAATTTGAACTCCAGAAAAATCCAGTTTTACCACCTTCTCTGTATAGTCTTACAAATAAAATCCATTCTATTATCTATCCTACAAGCTGCAGAACTAAAACGAATGTTAGCTGACACACACATCAGGTCAAAACACTTGTAAGAATCTGTCAATTCTGTCACATAAATGATTTGACTGCTACTATTTTATTCTTTAAAGAATAGTTTGAGTAATCATCCAAGTATCCTGGGGAGAAATGATAGTTTTAATGTTAAGTGAGGGCAACAAGGATCAGAAAAATATAGAAAGAAAAATTATAGGCAGTTTTCTTAATAGTCTATGGTTACTCCATGGAAAAATAAACAGAAAGGATATTTTGTGCCTATGGTAGCATTGCAAAAGAGATGAGTTTATAATTTAAAGATATAACATTTTTAGCACCATTCTAAGAAGAAAAGACAAAAAATGTCTAGTGTTCTGAAGCCATGATCAAGAAAAAGAAGGAAATATTTATCTTTACAGTCTTAAATATTCCTATTCCTGTAGTAAGAGGTGAGCTTTTAT